CAAATCAACCCCATCCCTCCCTCCTCAAACGGTGCTCCCTGGTTCTGTGCCCACCGAGTCTGGTTACGGAGGGAATGGGGTTGAGAGCAAATTGTTCTCTGCTCAGAGAACTGAGAAATAGGTATTCTACAGTTGTCTCTCCTGTTTTTACAAAGGGCCGACTACTTCCTAAGGGTAAAGGTGTGTAGAGAGGGCATGTAGGCTGTTGTAGATGCAGGAGCCTATTGCGGCTTTTGGGGAATCTGTTCCCTGGCTAGGCTGTAGAACTTTGTGATACTTGGAGAATGGTATCAGTGTAGCTAATGCTGCATGTGAGGGTTAGCCAGGTATCAACCACTCACCACGGGATTGCGTGCAGAGTACCTCCTACAGTACTGCAGTGTGCCCTCCGTGGGGTAAGAGAGCGGGTGAAATGGGAGGGCTGGAGCCAGCCCTAGAGCTTGTGAGTGTTCCGCCAGTCATGCTCATCACATACCAAAAGTCACCATCACCTGAATCATGCAAGATAAAACAGCACAAATTTAGGCTTCATATGAAGGCTTTACATACAAGACTAACTCATCACCTCTCTCCAAACACCTTACTGAGCAAGCTGCTTTGAGCCAGGAACATGGTGGAGTCTAGAGACACAGCATCAGACCAAACAGAATGGCTCCCTATTTCTCACAGCCTAGACCAGTGGTTCTCAACCCTCCGAACACTGCAACCCCTTAATACAGTTTGTTGTGGTGATCCCAACCATGAAATTATTTTTGTTGCTGATTTGTAACTGTAATTTTGCTACTGTTATGAATTGTAAATGTAAATGTCTATGTTTTTCCCAATAGTCTTAGGTGACCCCTGTGAAAGGGTTGTTCAACCTGAAAGGGGTCATGACCCCACAGGTTGAGAACCACTAGTCTATAGGGACCTGCAAGCTGGTCTGTCAATGTTGATCCAGCACTGTCCCAGCAACTGTACCTTTGGATTTCCCAGACAAGCGACTTCCAATGTTAGATAGGGACAATCCTTCAGTCTCTAACACACGCTAAGGTAGCGCCCAATCCTTCAGTTCGACTCCAGTATTGATGTAGGCAGGAGGACATCTTCAACAGAGGAAAAGAGGCACAGGGAAGGATGGGGAAGTATTGCTAAACTCAAAGGCTATCACTACATGCAACCAGTAAGCCCTTTGGCTCTTTGGGTATGTACAACTTCATTTCTGTCACAAGACCAACACAGCCTGAGAAGGTAAAGCCTTAGTTTTTGAACCTGTAGAGTAGAGGATAAGATGCCAGTCGGTGGTGATTGACAGTGTCCGTTTGGAAAACAGAAGTTCCAGCCAGTAGCAATCCATTGGTCATGGACCTGAGCCCTTCTATGCTATCTACTCTCTTACCTCTCGAAAGCACGCCGTTTAATATACTTTCTCGTACTCTATTTTAAGCCTCTAACCATATGGGGATATCCAGGCTCCCATTTGACAGATGGGCAGCAAACCTCAAAGCTAACTTGCTCAATCTTCCACAGCCACTGATAAACCCAGCATTCAAGTCCAAACCCCTCAGGCTCAGACCGATGCTCTTTCATGATCCCACAGCTGTCCACTTGAAAATTTCAGTTCTTCCTTTCTGTGTGTTGTTTCAACACATGTAACAGGCAGGAAACTGCCTTACAGCCTGCTGGTTTTCTCCAGAGTTCTGGAAGCAGCGTGCCATGACCACCAAGTAGAGAATTTTTGCTGTTCCCAGATGCGGATCTCGTGGTCAGTCACCTGCTCTCAAATCTCTCTTGCCTCCTGCACAGGGATCCTGCAGCTGCCTGGATGCCTGTGGATCTATTTTTAGAAGTAGAGGAGGGAATCAGGGTGGTATGAACTGGAGGTGTTGGAGGGTCTATTAATAATATTTTTTTTTTTTTTTTTTTTTTTTTGCTGAGGACTCCCAGAATCGTACTTGACCAAGTTCAAGATGAATGGCCTCTGGAGATGAGCTCACCTTTTGGCACCGCCCATCCCCAGCGTTGCTTGTTTTCTGAAGGGCTTCTCCTAGCACCTGGTACTCAAAGCCAGGGCATTAGTAGCTAGCAGCAGCCTCAGTTGATTGCTCTCCAAGAAGGCCAAGCAGGAAGCAGGGCTAATTCCCTTGACCTCTGTAGGGATTGGCAGTGTTCCCTAAGATCCTTCAGCAGAAGAGGCCTGCTGTTTTAAAGATCTGAACAAACAGCCATGGGTGGATCCCTGCTTTTTAAACCTTCCTGGGGTCACCAACTTTATTCTAGCATACATGAAACACTCTTTTAGGAATGGGAGACTAGAAAGTCAAAACAGGGGGAAATTTATTTTAAGGTGTTAAAACAAGTATGATATTAGGATATACATATATAAAATCTCGGCCTCTGGGAACATAATAGTGGCATACACACACACACACACACACACACACACACACACACACACACATATATATATTTAAACCTTAGTTCAAAATATTTCTTTGACTTACCAGATTAACAGTAACAACATAAAAATGCAAACATGTGCTTATGATGTTAGTTTTATGGTAAGAGTGTCACAATTAGTGTGACCAATTCATAATGTCAAACTTAATATTAAACAAGACAGTAGCAAAGGGAATAAACTAAAATACCTTCAGTTTCAAAGTCAGTGATGACCTTCTTGTCCAAACAGATTCCCCATAGAAGAACATGTGACAGAAAGAAAGGGTCCTGGTATCCCCAGCCACAACTTTCCAAGCACCTGCTTAATAACCTAACAAAACAGACCCCATTACAGGTCCATTAGTAACAAATTCTCAAGTCAAGTATGAACTAAGAAAAATGCTTGTCTTAACCACACTGGAGTGAACCAGAGACCACTTTGCTTCGGGGTGGGCTCTTCAGATAGTGACAGGCACTGACCTTCAAGAATCCTTTTCAGTCCCCGTGGCCTCCTTGCCAAAGGCAATCTCTCTTTGTAAAGTGACTCTGAAAGCAGCTCTGGCTCCCTGAAACTCCACAGAGAATCACTATTGCTCTGTTCAATGCCATAGCCTTTCCTGAAGGCTAATCTAGAAAACCCATGGTTCAGACCATGCTCGTATAGCTCTGTGAATGTAGAGACCAGAGCAAACATGGGAAGACACCAAGGAACCTGTAAGGTCCCCACCTCTGGCTACTTGACAGTAGCATTGCCCAACTTTTGTTTGAATGGCCACCTACATTTTCTGGGAGACACAAAGCAAGGCTTTTCTCCTCCTCCAACCCTCCACTTCCTACAATTGCCTGGGGTGCTTAAAGAGCTTGCATTTTGTAAATGAGAATTTCTTGAGGAAGCAGGACTTGCATTTGCTGGACACACATCTCTCTTTCTTAATTACTAAGCAGCAAGCCCAAAGAAAGAGCAAAAAAACAGGGCCATCCCCCACCCCAACTTGCTAAATGCAAAATAAATGTTAGTAGGTATCATCATCACCACCACCATCATTGTTACTATTACTTTAGTTCTCGGGATAGTTCACCGAAGAGCTTTAAATGGTGCTTAAATATTTATGTAGTAAGGATATTTCCCCCTCAATAGATTGTTAGTGTATGAACTTGCTATTCAAATATTAAAAATCCATTTTTATCTTAATTGCACTATACTTCTCAAACATCTCAACAAAACAAAACAAGCTCACACATAATTTGGGAATGTCTATATATTTGTAAAAACTCAATGTGTCACCAAAGGTTCTAGAAAATGAGGAGAAGATGGCAGATGTCTCATCCTAGGACCCTCGTCCTACACTCTTACCCACAGCCTCCAGGCACTTTAGGTCCCTCTTCCAGCCCCTTAACCAGTGGCTCTAGTTCCGCCCTTACATGTAGCAAGCCTATCTCCCTGAGAGCCTCTAACAAGCAGGGAGGCTATCACAACTCAAAAGGTTTGTGTAGCAAGAACCCTCACTGAAAAGGCAGAAACAGCCACTGTTTATTCTATCCGTGTTCTAGTGGAAAAGGAGAACAGGGACAAGCAGATCCATGAAAAGACACACATCCCTTGGTCCAGGCTTTGGTCTGCTGGTTCTTGTAGCAGTGCCGGAGAGGGTCATCATGGTGTAGGATCTGGCTTAGTGGGTGACATGACAGGTCCCATGGGCTGCCCTTGATGTGAACATCTGCATGAAGAGAGAATCACAGGTGTGGGTTTACAGATTCCTAGCACTGGAATCCCCCCCTTGAAATTGCTTCTGATTGAGATTTAGACGTGTATGGACTGACAGAATGTCTTCAGAACATGGAAGTGCCCACATTTTTCCCTTCATGTCAGTCTCCTCTACTCAGCAGCTTACCTTGATCAGGGTGGATACTCATCCACACTATGCCTGAGAGCAGCATTGGAGTCTTCTTTTATGGTCTTTGAATATCATAATCTGGCGTAGCACTCAAGCATTGGCAGCAGAAGACAGTTTTCATATTCAGGAAACTGACGGATGAAGCACATTAAAAACATCTTGATCCAAAGCAATACAGAACTTCTGTCTCAAAAAACAAAAACAAAACAAAAACAAACAGAAACAAACAAACAAAAAACAAAAACCATCTTGGGTAGATACAACGGCAACTCAGATTGACAAACGGGGCAGAATGTGCCCAGTTCTGACTCCTCTGAGGAGCTAGCTGTGTAACTTAAACACATCAGTTCATCTCCAGGGCTTTGTGGCCCTCACTGTAAATAGAAGGGAGGAGAAGAGGGCAACATAAGGGACAGATGAGTTTCAGGGTTCCTCCAGACAGATCCACTCCTAGCCTCTACGGTACTGAAGATCTGTGGTTCTGTAGTTTGCAATAGGTCCTCGGACTTCACTCTTCTTGATCAGTGCTCCCCACATTAGCAGGTGAGATCCGAAGAGCTCAAAGGGTCAATATAAACAAGTATTACTCTTTATAAGTTAGTATTGATCCATAACCCAAACCCTAATTCAGAAAAGGTTGAAAACAAAGCAAAGCAAAACCACACAACAATGTCTTTCTCTTTAAAGGGACCCTGCCAAGGATGCAGAAGGCAATGAAGATGGTCAAAGATGAGGATGGACCTTTCCACGCCACTGTGAAGAACATCCCCTCCTTTCCCCGCTGCCTTCAGCCCGAGGCTTCCCGAGGGAAGGCTCCCCAAAGACACTCCTTCCCCGAAGCTCTCCGAGGCCCCTTTCCCCAGTTTCGATATGAACCTCCAGGAGACCTTGATGGATTCCCCGAGGTCTTCGAGGGAGGAGGCTCCCGGAAACGGAAGAGCATGCCCACAAAGATGCCTTACAACCACCCTGCTGAAGAAGCCGGGACTGCTGAGGAGAACAAGAACCTGGGCCCTCCCAACCTGGCTCTGCTTTTCCCGCAGCCACCGCGCCCCAAGTGCGACTCTCAGATGATCGACCTGTGCAATGTGGGCTTGCAGTTCTACCGTACCCTGGAGCACCTGGGGGGCAAAGCGGTCAAGCAGGAGCCGGTGAAGCCCAGCGCCGTGTGGCCCCAGCCGGCAGCCCCTGCCTTCCTGCCTGCGCCTTACCCCTACTACCCCAAAGTCCACCCGGGACTCATGTTCCCCTTCTTCATGCCCTCGTCCTCACCCTTCCCCTTCAGCAGGCACACCTTCCTGGCCAAGCAGCCCCCCGAGCCAGTGTTACCCCGCAAAGTGGAGCCCCTGGAAAGCGAGGAGACCAAGCAGAAGGTGGAGAGGGTGGACGTGAATGTGCAGATCGATGACAGCTACTATGTGGACGTGGGTGGGGCTCAGAAGCGCTGGCAGTGCCCCACCTGTGACAAGTCCTACACCTCCAAGTACAACCTGGTGACGCACATCCTGGGCCACAGTGGGATCAAGCCGCACGCGTGCACCCGCTGCGGGAAGCTCTTCAAGCAGCTCAGCCACCTGCACACCCACATGCTGACACACCAGGGCACGCGGCCCCACAAATGCCAGGTGTGCCACAAGGCCTTCACCCAGACCAGCCACCTGAAGCGCCACATGATGCAGCACAGCGAGGTGAAGCCGCACAACTGTCGCGTGTGCAGTCGGGGCTTTGCCTACCCCAGCGAGCTCAAGGCCCACGAGGCCAAACACGCCAGCGGGCGTGAGAACATTTGTGTGGAGTGCGGCCTCGACTTCCCCACCCTGGCTCAGCTGAAGAGGCATCTCACTACGCACCGCGGCCCCATCCAGTACCACTGCTCCGAGTGCGACAAGACCTTCCAGTACCCCAGCCAGCTGCAGAATCACATGATGAAACACAAAGACATCCGTCCCTACATCTGCTCTGAGTGTGGCATGGAGTTCGTGCAGCCCCACCACCTCAAGCAGCACTCGCTCACCCACAAGGTATGGGGGAGGGGCGTCAGTGGGTGGGGAGGGGGTGTTGCTAGACCAGCAGCGAAGGAACACAGCTGGGGACCTGTGGGTGGGGAGATCCACGCTGTGTGGCCCTGGCTAAGATACTCCATTCGCCATACTTGAGTCCCCGGGGCTTCTTCCCAACTTCACATTGCAAACAGTGAGCAACATGACAGTGGACAATCAATTAAGCCCTTTCCCAGAATAGCCTCAGAGTGCAAGGTGGGACTGGAAATTACCAATGCAGACATTTGGAGAGGACACGAGGAAGGAGGAAGGAAGCAGCTGGCTGCTGTGATATTTCTGCTTAGCCCCCGAGAAGCCTTGGAATTTTGTTTCTAGAAACTTCTTTTAGGGTGCTAGTGTGTGTGTGTGTGTGAGTGTGTGTGTGTGTGTGCGCGTGCGTGTGTGTGCATGGGTGTATGTATATGTGTGTCTGTGTGTGTGCGTGAGTGTGTGCGTGCGTGTGTATGTGTGTCTGTGTGTGTGCGTGCGTGTGTGCATGCGTGTGTTTGTGCATGTGTGTGTGCATGCGTGTGTGCATGCATGTGTGTGCATGTGTGTGTGTGTGTGTAGGAGGTGGGGGAATGCATGTCATCAGATAGCACATGAAAGCCATCTTCTAGAGGATTCTCTGAGAGCTCTTTCCAGCTGAAGCAGGGGCTACTTCTGGTTTGTTGGCTGGTTCTGCTGTGAGACCTGCTTCCTCAGGTGGCTATAAACTGGGGCAGAGTTTGGCCTTGTCACTCAGGGCCAGCTCTTCCCTGTCGGCTTGGGTTCACTAGTCTGTGGTATCCTTGTGGGGAGCAGGAGGGAGCTTCCTTCTTTGCTTGGTTTTAATTTCTCTGGGCTCAGATCTTGGTGGAGAAATACCGACCCATTTCTGCCTCATTTGTAACTGGTGCTCCGTAGGTCATCAAGCAGAAACAGGCAAGGCTCCAGTGGCATCTTGAGCTCTTACTCCGGCAGGTCTGACTTGGGCCTGCTTTGAAATGCCAAAAGGGGACTTTTGCCCCCCACTGACCTCTAGTCTCACCCTTGACCTCAGTGGTTTTCTTGGCAAGGAAGACTTCTAGGAAGCCAGTGTCTCTAAACCATCCTTTGTTTCCTAAAGGTCATGAGAGGACTGGCCAGCTGAGGTAATACTACCCACTTGGCTCTCCTGGGTTTCATTTGTTAGGTTAGGACAAAAGCAGCAGAGATGTGCTTCCTGCTGGACAAAGGGCACCTGTAGGCTCCATCCGAGGGGCACTGCCTGCCAAGAGCAGGAACCATCAGCAGAGGACCTGGGCTTAGATCTAGCCACAAAGGCTTAGCTCAGGGTACCTACCAGTGGCTGTGGAAAAGGAATCAGATGTTACTGATTTTCAATCATATGGATTCTGCCAGGCAATAGAAAATGCAGTTCAGATGGGGGAAAGAACCTGTTGTCTAACATGTATTTCCTTCAAATCTGTAAACAACGTATGTTTTCAGTAGAGACATGAGAAAACAGTGGGAGCTAGAGTTCACTGAGTACTTGCTTGGTGGTTCTTGACTCATTCATGTTGGTTCTCAAGGACCCTGGGATCTGCCCCTGACCAAAAGTGAAGACACCAAGATATAATGAGGTCTGTCAGGGAACCCCGCATCAGCACCCAAATCTTTATTTACTCACTTACTTTTTTTATTTTGTGCTTATGTGCATACATAGGCAAGTGCCTGTGTAGAGGCAAGAAGTGAACTTGGTGTCTACTGTTGCTCTCCACTTTATCTTTTTGACATAGGTTCTCTCACCGAACTGGAGTTCATCAATTGGCTAGAGAGTCTGACCAGAAAGCCTCTGGCGTCCTCCTTCCTCTGCCTCCTAGTGCTAGGATTGCAGACACACCTTGCTACGCTTGGCTTTTTCTGTGAGCATCATGAATGCTCATACACCGTGTGCCACTCTACTTGGTTTATGTATAGTTGGGGCTTCAACCCAGGTCCTCATGCATACAAGGCAAGTGCTTTATCAACTGGGTCACGGACCCAGACCACCCTCCATCTTGAGAGGAGAAATCTTCACCACAAAAGACCGTGGAACTTATTCTTTAATGTTTCACAGTCAGTAAATGGCTGGACAGACACATGAACCCACCCTTTTGGGCTCACCACACTCTAACTTGAATAAGTGACGATATAACTACAATCAGAGCTAACTTGGAATCTGTCATTCTTTAGGTCACTTATGGATACCAGATGGTATGGATTTTTAAGGTGTTAAATTTGGTAACTTGTTCTAACCCTCATTTTAGTGCCAAGGTTCTTTTAAAAGTCATTCTTGCGTTGGACAACAGTACACACCTGTAGTCCCAGCCACCCAGGAGGCTGGAGCAGGAGGATTACTTGAACTCAGGGATACAACACTAGCCTCAGCAACACGGTGAAGCCCTGTATCAAAAAGTCACTGTAGAGCCTGGAGAGATGGCTCACTTGAGAGAATATATTGCCCTTGCAGAAGCTCTGAGCATGCTTCCCAGCACAGACCATAACAGATAGTTATGGTGGCTCATAACCATCTGTAACTCCAGTTCCAGGCACTTTTGATCCCCTGTTCTGACCTCCTCAGGTACCAGGCATGTAGGTGGGATACATACATAACATACATACATGCATACATGCAAGCATTCATACACATAAAATAAATCTAACGTTGTTTTTAAATCATCATGGATGGACACATTTGGCACTGGACTTCTCTGGGAAGCGAAGGTTGTTGAGAAAGCTGATATTCCTTGTGGGAGTGCCTGGGAAGGCTCTGAATTAAGAACATCAGCACTCAAACCCTTTAAACACTCACTGTACATAGTGAGGAAACCAGACGACCTTCTGTTCTAGTTTCCAATTTAGAAGGTTGTCCCATGCCAAAAATTTTCCAAAAGAAGCAGTTGAACTACATACAGAAGGCTCCAGAGCTACGGCCCCCATGGGTCAGCATGGCCTGTGGGAACCCAGGGGACCAACTGGAGAGGGTGATTATGTAGTTGTAATTGATTGAAGCAAGGATGAATGGCTCTTTTGGGATTTTTGAGTCCTTTAGTAGAACTGCTGAGACATTGGCTTCCTTCTGGAAAATGATAATATCAGTTTAGAGCTTTTTCATCATCATCAAAGGCAAATTATAGACTCATTTCTTATCATTCTGCAGGGCTCTTACCAAAATTATATTAATCCTCCCAATCTGTTGCTGTAGAATTAACCCCATCAGTAGTGGAACACCACGGTGGCTTTCTTTTCTTATAGTGGTCAGCTAGTTTATGATGTTTGGAGGGGGGGAATAGTAGATTATGTAATCACCTTCCAAGGAAATCACAACTTAACATGGCTGAAGCTGTGCCATTTGGATGTTCTCATTTGTCTCCAAGGTTCTTGTGGATTCATGTGTCAAAGAGGCCCATTCTACAGCTCTCATGGAAGCCTGGAACACATTGAACACTCACTGTTTTGAACCTTCCTCTCCACAGGGTGTGAAGGAGCACAAATGTGGGATCTGTGGGCGTGAGTTCACCCTGCTGGCCAACATGAAGAGACATGTGTTGATCCACACTAACATCCGAGCCTATCAGTGTCACCTCTGCTACAAGAGCTTCGTGCAGAAGCAGACCCTCAAGGCACACATGATTGTCCACTCTGATGTGAAGCCTTTCAAATGCAAGGTAGGAAGAAGGGAGAGGACCCCAGGGGCTATGCAAAGGTTGGACAGGCAAGACCTCGGGGAAACTTCTCCTCTGAGGCTCACAGTAGGTCTGTGGCCAAGTTCAAGTCACACCCACCATGTTGCCTCTGTTTCTGCCATGCATGTTCACAGTAATTCTTAGCTGGTCCCTGTTTAAGTGACTGTGGCATTAGTGTTTGGGTTGGGGATGGGGTAGGCAGGCAGTCATGAAAAGTCTGGGTATAGAAAGCTCACTGTAGAATGACTTGGAAGAGGAGGAAGTCTAGAGTGGAAAAACTAGGCTGACCCTGTTTCCATTATAAGCTAATGAGCTGGCATAAAAAGGAATCTGAAAACCTAACACACACACACACACACACACACACATACACACACACACACACACACACACACACAGAGAGAGAGAGAGAGGGGGGGGGGAGAGAGAGAGAGTCCCTTCCTTGTCTTCCCTCCTCCCCTCTTGACACTTGGGCTAAATCTTATAACATGAAAGTAGACATCCCAAAGAGGATTCTGGTGTGCCAACTTCCTTCTATCTGGATAGATTGCTAATTCTTAAGATAGTTGCAGCACTAACCATAATAGCTGAGGTGTGGAACCACCTTAAAAGGATGAGGTGAAGAGAAGATGCTCCTTATACATGATGGAGTACTACTCGGCCATAAAGGGAACAAAACCCTAGATCTATGTCAAACATGAATAAAGACCATATTGGAGGGCAATAAGCCAGGCAGAGAGAGACAAATATTGCATATCATCGCTCACTCATATGTAAGAGTTAAATTGATTTCATAAAAGTAGAACTGAGAACAGTGGTTACTAAAAGCCAGGAAGGGGAGGAAGGAGAGGAGACAGACACTGGAGATGGGGGGAGTATGGTCCAGTGTTCCACAATACAGCAAGGTGGCTGGTTACCAAGACTTTGTTGGATATTTCCCTAAAAGATAGATTTTGAGCAACCCCAATATCAAGATATGGTTCTGAGTGTACTAATGACCATGATGTACTCACCACATGTTCTATACATGAATCTAAATATTATACTATATCCAACATACATGTACAGTTACTTTGTGTCAATTCTAAATACTGAAAAAGTAGAATCCAAAGCTAACCCTTCAAACGACCCCAGAAAAGCTGTGTGGACTGAGGAGCAACTCAGCTTCTAGAGTGTTTTTCCTTTATTCTTAAGTACCACATGGCCCAGGGTCTAAGGACCTTTGCAGATGCTGCATCAGATTACTTTTGTTCATTCTTATTTTATCAGCTGAGAGGATAGTGAGATCTTACAAGACCCTGGCTTCCCAAGGCTGCCCTGCCCCAGGGCTGTCTCAAGAGGATTGCTTAGGCCTAGATGGATGGGAGACTGTAGGGGTGGGTGCCATCCCACTCAGGAAGAGAGAGCAGAGCGGGAAGAAGGCATAATGCATTCAGACAGTAGAGTGTGTCTGGGTGAAATCTAAGTTTTCCTTTCCTGGTACTGCTTGTTGACTAGAGTGAGGGTGACTCACTTTGCAAATCTGCATCCCTGCAATGGGATTCCCTCCTTCCAGGAGGGGGTAGCTGCTTTCATCCCTGGGCAGTGTGGCCCCCACTTGAAGGAACCCCCTGTGAAGTCGACTTTTTTCCTGTGCTGGCAGCTTGTCCGCAGGGTGAGGGGTCAGGAAGCAGAGCTTCCCTAGGCCGTGCGGACATTGTCTGGAGGGGGCCTTCTCCCCCCCACTCCTTTTCCTGCCACCCACCTCTGTTTCCCCTTCTTTTCTCCAAGCTTTCTGTCCTTTGAAAGTCACATTATGTCCATCTTGAGTGTGTCAGTTAAAGAAGGAGAGACCAGTGTGTCCGATGGGGACATCACTTTCAGGAAGGCCCAGTGGGGAATGGAAAGGCAAGGCTTCTTTGCAGGGGACACGCCATCTCAAGAGCAAGAAAAGCATTAATTCAAAGGCAAGACCCGCCTGATGAAGAAGCGCATGCAGCTCCAAGTCACTGGGCCCTACCAGTATCCTTCTCTCTCTCCAGATACTCCTCCACTCCCTTCTTACTCTGTTGACTCCTCCGAGTTCCTCAACATCTACAGGGGCTCTTCCTGCAGAGATTTTACTATCTCCTATGCGTGGAGGTGCAGGCATGCTGTCTTATGCCTAGATGTCAAGCATGAATTGCATTAATTATCTTACCAACTGGTGGCTGGAGTACAATTGTTATTCTTTAAAGGGAACTACCTCTTAGTTTCTTCTCGAAAGACACATACACTCTCTCAGTCAAGCCATCTCCCATCTTACTGTGTCTCCTCTGACCCCTCCGTAGAGATATCCCTCCCTGAGATGGAGGGATAGATGAGGGAAGAGACATAATTAGGGCGAGCCCCTGAGATGGAGTGGTAGGTCAGGGCAAAGATCCTGTCTTGGGGGTTAAGCCCCTGAGATGGAGGGGCAGGTCAGTGCAGATATACAGTCTAGGGGGAGCGCCTGAAGTGGAAGTCAGGGCAGAGCCTGCCTAAGCAATGTGGGATCAGGGACTGTTTCAAAGATCTCTTGGGCCTGATAGTATGTGAGCATCTAGAAAGTTCTCTGTCGAACCAGAGCACAGAAAGTGTACAGAGCAGTGCATGTTGGGCCTAGTGCTGCAGTGAGCCATCCTCGATGGATGTTTTAGCCTCTGCCCTTCTCCTCTCCAACCATGGTACATCATACATGGTCCCAAGAGCATGGGGTAGTCAGCTGTGTGGCTCAGAAACTTCATTTTATCTCTCCCTTTAGGGTTACTTGGGCTCTCTTGATGTCTGGCCCACATCACCAGATCCCATAAAAAAGTGAACTCCCAGCTTTGAGGGCTTCTACGTGGTGTTTGGGTCCTGTCAGAAGGCCAGAATACAGCTTTTCACCCTGAGTGTTATCTGTTAGATAAAAGGCATTCTCATCAAACTTGGCTGGCCCTGCTCCAACGCTTAGACATTTCTGAAATAGCAGTCCACATGCATCACCTTGACCAAGCCCTGTCTTCCTGAAAGCTCCAGACACATGCACCAGGGTCTCCTTCTTCTCCCCTCTGCTTCCTTGCTGGAACATTCTCTGAACTAGCCTTTGGTACCATCTGTCTTTGTTATTTCTCCAGATGTGCCTGGCATGCATGGGTTACATGTCATACAGGTTTGTCTATGTACATGAGAACCACCAGTTCAAGAGATGTGCAGAGCTTAAGGCCCAGTTCAGGACTCAGAAGGGCAGGATGATCTTGAGATGTCCTGTGGACTTTGCTTCCTATCCATTTTCAGCTGGATGGAAATCTGGCCCTGGGTGGAAGGTTGTGGGGGATTGGAAGGGTTAGACGAGAGATGGAGGCCACTTGTTCATTGCCACGCACTTCATAAGCAGCTGAGACAAATGTCTGGCCAGGGACATAGCGATGATGATGGGAAGAAGTGTAAGCAGTTACACCCAAGCATGATAGTCATAACATAGGATAGTTAGTTTCATCCCATGATTGATATGGCTGGGGAAAAGGACCAGGCTTGCTTCCCTTCAGCAGCGAGCTGGTTCTATTGCCTCTCCCCCAAAATTTGCAACAAGAAAGATTCTTTTAGTAATAGTGTCTAATTTCTTGGGATTTTCGCCATTAAAACACCTTCCTCAATGTAAATCCTTCCCCCTGCTGGAGCATGGCGAGCTCTCATTGGAAACAGCTGTCCCCAGTGAGCAGAGACGTTCACTAGAATTAAGCATTAACAACAGGATGGAAAATTAGTGTTTCCATTCTGTGTTTCTTTCTTACACACACACACACACACACACACACACACACACACACACACTTATATATGTCATACATTTATTTATGACTGCCCTTCTGGACTCTTGCTATTGGCCCAACTTCTAGACTCTTTGCTCCTGGGAGCCAGCTGGAGTTAATCCAGAGACCCAGCCTGTAGACTTAAGCTATGTTTCACAAATACTCTTCCCAGATTCTGCGTAAGCACACGGGCCTTGATTTGGATACTATCCTTGTAGTGGCCACACTCCATAATAGCAAAGAACCAGCTGCCGTCTTTGGAAAACCTGTCCAGGAAAAGCTTCCATCCAGAATTTCCGGGACAAATTCTCTTTTGAGATGGGTGAAGCCCGGAGCTGCCTAAGTTATGAATCACAGGCATCTACAGACTTTTCAACAGCAGAGAGCTGAGGGCTGGAGGCCTGTGAGTGGAACAGAGGGGTGAAGTCACCTCGGAAATGGTCTTGACTTCTCCCAATCGACTGTCGGCTGTTTGGTGCTCCAGAAAGGGAGCGACCAGACTGGGCAGTTTGCAGGGACTCGGTGCCTGGGGTCAGAGTTTTCAGGCTGGCATGGAGGGAGTTAAGGCTGTGACCAGATAGCAGCCCTTTGGCAGCAAAGCCCTCCTCCTAGGCAGAAGGAAGGATATAGCTGTATGAACTGCCTGCTTAACAATGCCTAGCATGTCCCCAGGGGCCCGCCTGCAAATAGATTTCATCTTGCTTTCTCTTGTACTTTTCAGAGCTTCCTGTTTTCTCACGGTCCTTTTGGACAGTTTACAGTCTCTCTCTCCCTCCCTCCCTCCCTCCCGCTCCCTTTGAGGAAAGGAACACCCTTCTTATTAAAGAGGGAGAGGGAAAAGAATGTAAGGGAAGGGCAGTTGAGCCGAGGCCATTCTCTTGGGCTGGCTGGAGCTCTTTGACCTTTCTTCTCAGAATAGGAAGAAAAGCTTCCTGGGACGCCTTAGCTCTGAAGCTCACCTCAGACAGTTGTAGCCAGGCCCCGTGCTGCTTGGCCTTCTGCCTCTGGACTCAGCCAAGTGGCTGCTGCTACCATTGCCCCATCTCTGCCCACGGCTGACCTCCATGGCAGCTGCTGCCGCAGGGGCTCATGGGAAGCCAGTTACTCCAGACCCTGTACCTTGGGGTGGTGGATGGGAAGGGCACCAGAAGGCCAGAGCAGGGAGACTGAAGCAAAGAGGACACGTGGCAGCTGTTTCCAGGGCACCCTGGACATCAGAGAGCCATGTGGTGGGCTCCCCCAAAGCCTGTGAATCTATAGGGAATCTTTAGTTTCCACCCAGGACTCCTCCTGCCTGAGCTTCTATTCAGTCCCAGGTCACCTGGCAGGGGTTAGCCAGAAGATTCCCTTTCCGTTCCTTTGATGTTTGAAAAGAACAGCACCCTTGCTGGGGTCCTGTGGCTCACATCTGGAAAGACAGAAGCCAAGTCTGCAGCCCTCCACCACACCCGCACCAGCGTCTCTCTTACTTTAACGCAGACTTTGTTAGATCGTTCATCCAGTGCCCGCTTGGGAATGTGCTTATATTTTCAACTCAAGATTAAGGGAAGCCTTCACTTCAGCTACTGACTTCTCCTAGAGAAGAAATGAGCTTTGCCGTTCCCTCCACAATCTTCTCCTTCCTGTCTAGTTCTCCTCCCCAGCTGCAAGGACCAGTTCTGCTTAGAGCTGATACCCCAGGACTCTATCAAGAGCAGAGCCCAGGCTCTTTCTCTAACCTCTCTTCACTGTCTGAGGGGTCTGGCTCTGTGTGTCACAGACTTAGATGAACAAACAAACGACAACCTCTCTACACTTGGGCATTGCCGTGTGAGGACACTCTTCTGGGAACAATGGAGAAGCAAGTGTTGTGGATGAGGACCACAGGGCTCTGGAGGTCAGAGGTGGAGGAAGAGGCTGAGTAGCTACAGCTGATGTGTGAATGGAGCCCATGTGCTCCTGGTCTTTGTGACCTGTCTCCATCCTTCTGTCATTGAGGGTTTCAGTCTACAGACTGGTGCCTGTAGGCTCGTGGGGACCAGTAAAGTCTTTAAGATTTTGTACGGGGTGATAGTATTTCCTGACTCGTTTATATATTCTCCCAGCCTAATGTTTAACTACTCATTGAGGGTATTGTGCATGTAGCCCTGTGCCTGATATTGAGCTTGGTTGCAAAGAAGATTGAGGTAACCCTTGAACTGAAAACTCCCTGGGACACTTTGGGAGTTCAGAGTTGACTTGCCTCCACTGATCTTCATTGTGACACCCAATGGCTACCATCAGTCATGCTGGGTAACTCTATTATAAAAAAAAGTGAAGCTTGCCTATAGGACAAAATATAGCCTCTTTTACCATCAGACATAATAGAGCTGACCTGTCATGTTCCACAGCGGGCTTTCCTTCAGACCATTGGAATTTCTTTGGAGGACAATGTAATGTGTCTTGTTTTGTTCTGTGTTTTGCGGCAGAGTCTCTCTTTGTAGTATTGTCTGTCATGGAATTCATTGTATAGACCAGGCTGGCCTTAAACTTACAGAGATCTGACATTGTAATTTAAAGTCCAATGTAAATTTAAATACAAATATAATGTACCCACATACCAATAAAATGTCCCAAGAAGTTTTATATTGAAAGAATTGGGCCAGAAAATCTGTAGCACAGGACAATTCACTAGGCTTTCAAAAAAGATCAAAAAGGTAGCTTGTCTATACTAGATACTGTTGTTGTGATGAAACACCATGACCAAAGTAAGTTGGACGGGAAAGGATTTATTTTTCAGTTTATACTTCTAGATAACAGTTCATTCCCGAGGAAAGTCAGGACAGGAACCTGGAGGCAGGAGCTGATGCAGAGGCCATGGAGGAGTGATGCTTACTGGCTTTCTCCCCCTGGCTTGCTCAGGTCCACAATGGGCTGGACCCTGCCCCATCAATCACTAATTAAGAAATTGCCCTACAGCCAGATCTCATGGCAACATTTTCTCAATTGCCTTTCCCTTGTTTCAGATAACTCTAGCTTGTGCCAAGTTGACATAAATCTATCTAGCACAGTTGTCTGAGACTGAAGGAGAACCTGCAGAACCCCAAAGGTGGCCATTATGATGAACACACACCTCTGAGCATAGACTTGTGGCAAGAGAGATTGACAAGTGGAACCTTTGATGGTTGATAGGTGGGACCATGGGACAGATGAACTGCAGGACCTTGTCTTGGATGGATAAGACAGCCATGAGCAGTTGGTCCTCACCACAGCAGCAGTAGTTCCCTTACCTGTGATGTAGACTGAAGAATCTACAAATAGTTATGAAGATCCCTTGATACTTCTTGATACTTGTGCCAAGGCAAAAAGTAAAGGACACACCACACATACTTCAAGTAAGGGCTAAACTACTCAAGTGTGTGCTCGTGTGTGTGTGTGTGTGTGTGTGTGTGTGTGTGTGTGGTGTGGTGTGTGTGTGTGTGTGTGTGTGTGTTTGGCACATGTTCTTGTAGAGGCCATAAGACAACCTCAGATGTCATTTACCAGGATCTATCTGACTTTTCCTCTCCATCTTCCTCTCTCTCTCTCTCTCTCTCTCTCTCTCTCTCTCTCTCTCTCTCTCTCTCTCTCTCTCTGCTTCCCTCCTTCCTCCTCTCCCTCCCTCCACCTCCTCTGCACTATGGTCGCAGAGGTATGTCACCCCACTCAGCTTTTGACAAAGGTGCTTGGAGTTCAACTCTGGTCCCCGAGCTTGGACAGCAAACATTTTACCAGCCAAGCTGATGCCCCAGATCCACCTCTCTAATGGAGTGTTTCAACCTACTCCAGAGTCTGACACCTGAGCAGTGAGATAAGGACTGGAAGAGGGATGTCTCACACCACAGAAGCCAGTGCAGACGGCCTTCACCCTGTCATTTCAATGCTGTCTGTCTGCTTTGAGTGGAGCATCTGACCATCTATGCCTGGACTTGCCCAGCGATCGAACCCATCCTCTGCTTTTGGCTTCTCTCTCCCACTTGGGGCTTTTAAAATTCTTCTCCTGCAACATGTCCCACCGCACTGAGGACCTGTTGTGTGTCAAGCACCCACAAGGCACCTTGCAATCAAAAGGCGGGCAGAGCCTTCACTGACTCAGCCTGCTGGGTGGGAAGCATACTTTTAGTATTGACCAAGTGCTGGTCCCACAACTGCACCAGTGACACACCTCCAAACACCCAGGAAGCATCCCACAAAACATAATGGGGGGCTTCTTTTCCTCAAAAGGTAATGTGGATCTTTAGGTCTGAGGGGGTTTTCTTTTTCCTTAGCTATCATAGAGAAGTGGAAGTGGGTAAACTAAGCTAAAGATTATAACTTTACAAAAACCTTTAGACATCTGCAAAACTGAGCACAGCTCAGTGTCATCATGAATTCTGTCTGGTGGGAATAAGGAAAGAATTGATCCCTCCCGTGGCTTCTCCAGTGGCAGCTGGAATTAGATCCGTTTTCTCATCCTTTCCACCTCTTGGGGTGTGGTCTTTTGTTCTTTCCCCTCACTCCATCCTGGGGTTCAACCCTGTGGCTTACAAATGTATGGAAGCACTGTACCCCTGAGGTTCACTCCCAGGCTTCGGGCATCACCATCTTCTAATGTGTGTGGTGTAGTTACTCTGAGCTTGGAAGTCTTTCTAGGATACCAAATTCGTCCTTGCTGGCCAGGAATCCAAGGGGAGAAATGTGCTTCAAATCTTCAACCACAAATCATTCAACAATACTGATCCAGCCACTCATCGTCTATATGTGGACTATTTGGGTCCGCTGTGCAGCCCCAAGCTGCCCCCTCTTACCCAGCATCCCTGTGCTAGCCTCCCAAGGTCAATCTTGAGCTGTGCCCATTCTTCCGAGGTTACCTCCACTGCCCTTCCCTAAAGAAAATAGTGTCTTTGGTGATAGAAAATCAGCCTAGAATCTTCCACTTTGGCCGTGATGATCTCTCTCAGTGAGAAGAGAGAGCTTATGCAAGCCCCGGGAGATGCTGCGCCTCACACCCTCCCTGTGCCACATCTCACCACACACTGCCGCCACGGCTCCACTGCCCCTCAGAGGCTGAGGATGGAGGAGGCTGCTCTGCCATCGAGTAACACAATGGATGAAGCAAAACCGCAGAATCCTTCTTTGTCTTCCTCTTAGCACAACCAAGGACGGACTGGAGCTCCCAAACATTGCCCTCCTGAGGCAGAGGGACAAAATGTGCTCTAGAGTCACTCTTGTGCACTTTCTTCTGCAGGGAAGTGTCAGATCCACTCTTGAGATCCATCGTCTATGCATCCATATTGGTGGCTCACAACTGCTTGGTCACCTACATGCACATAGGTGCACACAGGTACACGTACACAGACTCAGACATACACACAGACACATATTTTTTAATGTTTGCTTTTTTTCTATCTCAACTCCTCCCCCCCCCCAAAAAAAAATCACTTCTTTAGATTTCTACCCAGAGAAAAGATAACCCCTTTCTTAGATTTCTTTTACTTAGCCAGCCTGGACTACATGAGACCCCACCACAAAACAAAACAAGCTTTAATTTAGAAGTGTTGAGATCTGGTCCTTGAGTTAGAGATACTGGACACCCGTGTCTTACAAACCCAGTCCCCCTGATCCACTGCTGGCCCCTCCCTGACTTCCGGGGGGACATTGTCTTTGGAAGTAGTTGTAGCACAGAGCAGGTGTGGCCACTGCTTGCCCATCCCCTGCCACTAGAACACAGGCTCTCCCTGGCAAGATCATTGTGTCCTGGTCTCTGTCCCCAACAGCTGTGTGGGAAGGAATTCAACCGGATGCACAACCTGATGGGCCATATGCACCTGCACTCAGACAGCAAGCCCTTCAAGTGCCTCTACTGCCCCAGCAAGTTCACCCTGAAGGGGAACCTGACCCGCCACATGAAGGTCAAGCATGGAGTGATGGAGCGAGGCCTTCATGCTCAAGGTACTCCCTCCACCCTGGTTGGGAGCCCTGCCCATCAAACCCAGGGGGTGGCACATAGAAGAAGACTGTGCTCTTATGGGGGCATTTCTTAGGGGTGGGGTTATTCTTGCCCCAAACAGCGGATGTGTTTTAATGATCACAGCAGACAGGCATGAGCAAAAGTCACAGTAATGATGCCAGTGGTACCTTTGTTCCTGTCTCACACGCTGCGTGGAGTACTTTATCTTTTTAAACCCTCACAGCACTCCCAGCTGGAGAACTTCCATAGTTTCCGTTTTGTAGGTTGGGAATCGGAGACCTCCAAAGTTACTCCATGAAAAAGAAACAGAGTCAGGATTTGAACCCAGACCTTTTCAACTCCAACTTTATTAGATCTACTTCTCATAGTGCTAGAAGACATGGGACTTTTCTTCCATTTAAAAAAAAAAAAGCAAACAACCAGGACAAAACAAAGGAGGTCTGCATACTCTGCACCAGCAGACGTGTTCGCAGTGGGCTATGTTTCCCTCCCTGTTCACTCAAGAGCAGTTTCCCTATTGTCCCAGCTCCTACTGAGCAGGGGTTTGTGTCTCTCCTGCCCAGTCTTTGCTGAACTAATGGAGAGCTCTTGTTTATTTATCTCCAAGGCTCTAGGCCCCAGTCAGTGAAGACTTTATGTGTTTAACCAAACTTTAGATACTTTTTTTTTTTTACATTTTCATTATAATGAAAAAAATTCACAGTACGTGGTGCTCCTGCCCTGCCCCACTACTTTTTCATATTTTAAATTCTCAGTAGAGATATTGCTAAGTCAGGCATATATTGCTAGGTTTGCCTTAATGGGTTGCAAGGACTGCAAGTGTCCCATTCTGCGTCCTTAATGGGAACCACGCCCCCTGCTCCGCCCTGTTTTAAAAATGGACAACCAGGATGCCCTCAGGCACATAAAGTCTGCTCTGGTCCTGCAGGTCTGGGCAGAGGACGACTTGTCCTGGCGCAGTCCACTGCTGTCCTGAGGAACCTGGGGCAGGAGGAGCCATTTGACCTCTCCCAAAAGCGCAATGTGAAGGGGCCAGTGTTCCAGCCCGATGTGGACAGCACACGGGGCTGCGTCTACCACGAGGAAGAGGAGGATGGGGATGAGGACAACTGCTATGAGGTGGCGCCCTACAGCCCCAGCCTAGCCCCGGAGAGCCAGCAGCTCTGCACACCAGAGGATCTGTCCACCAAGCAGGAGCAGGTCCTCCGAGGCCCTGGGGAAGGATGCAGGGACCAGGATGCTCCAGAAGAGCAGCAGGAGGAGAGTGGTGAGGACCGCGAGGGCAGGGACATAGACTGCAACCTCAGAGACGAGCGCCTGGGCAGCGGTGGGCAGGGTCCCTCGTTTTCTGATTACGTATACTTCAAGCACAGAGATGAGGGTTTAAAAGAATTACTGGAGAGGAAAATGGAAAAACAAGCAGTCCTTTTGGGTATCTAAGTGGAAGGCTTTAAAATCACATTTGGAAAACGAGATCTAGGCAGTTCAAATATAGCTTTCTGCCGAACTGCCATTTTCTGGGGACAGGTGAGTGGTGTGGGTCTTCACAAATGGCTCAGACTAAATGTGCAGGTTACACAAATGCTTCTCGGCTCATTACTTGGGCACTTGGCGATTTCATACAGGTTCAGGGCCCCTCGGTGTTATTTTACACATCACCCACATGGTGAACTCTGCTTCATCTAGATACCTAACTGCAAGCTGAACCGCAAGGTGCTTTCAGTAACTGTTTTCTTCTAACATGCAATCGGACAAATGTCTTTCTAATTGCAAAACAGTGGTGCTCATGTTACCTTATCAGTGACTATTTAGTTGCATTTATGAAGGTTACAATATCATAGATGAAAATATTAGCAGTTGTATATAATAATAGCCTCTATTAAATAATAGAAACACAGGAAGTGATGCAAGAGATGAGCTGTTGGGAAGCCTGTTCTTAAGTGGTTCCTATAGACCTGAGCTAGGGTTTCAGGAGAAGGTAAATCGTTTTGACCAAGAGCTCAGATGCCTGGATGGGTACTCTGTCCTGCTTCAGCTTCCCTGGTCAGTGGGAGATTTGTAGTACCCCTGTAGATATCTGGACAATGCTTTGGGGGTTCCAACTCTTCAGAACAAATCCCTCTCCCAAGAAGAACCTCCTCACAGAAACCATCGCCACCTTGTTCTGAGACCTCATGCCCCGAGAAGTGGAGATTGAGCTATGAAATAGGGGTCTGGACTTCTCCCTAAAACAAGATCTGACTTACTTAGGGTAGAGGAATGACCACCTAACAATTGCTATAAGCAGGGCCTGAGGTATGCTCTCAGACCTGGCTACATGTGAGAATCAACCAGAAGAACATCTAGAAAGCACTGATAGCTAGGCATGGTAGCTCACAACTGTAATCCCAGCACATGGGATTACAGCACTAAGTCAGAAGGATTGCCTCATATTTGAAATCAGCCTGTGCTACAAAGTAGAACCTCTTAAGAAAGGAGAGAGAGAGAGAGAGAGAGAGAGAGAGAGAGGAGAAAGAGAAAGCAAAATCCTGTAAGGCTCTGGTTTAACACATCTGGAGTAGGGGCCCAGCACTGGGAGTGTCCACATCACCTGTAGGTGCCTCTTGAAAAAGACGCACACTGTTTTTTCTGCTGGGACTCCTTCCTACTGTTTGTACATATTTCTGATCCTGACTTCAGACTCACCAAGGAGGACAGGAGACCTGCAACCACAATGCCTTTGTTCTTATTCTGTCACTGTCCCCAAGGACGGACGGACACACACACACACACACACACACACACACACACGGTAGATACACATTTTGGGTGCGTGTACTAGAAGACAATGCCTATGAGGTTTGTAGGCACCAGTGTGTTGAAAGATGCGGGACCACTCTTATTCTCACCCAGGAGCTTGAACCGTTGTTGTGGTGACCTGTGAGCATTACGATGGACATGTTGGGCCTATTGGGTGGGCCTTCTTAGACGCCACCGCCGTGGCGAGCAGTACTGACAGGAGGTTGCATTCATGGCATTCATTGCATTCATGGGTACAAGACTGTGTTTGTATAAAACCTGCCTCTTGGTTGAGTGTCAACATTCTTGGTAGAGCCAGGTTCTAGTGACTGACTTCCTGCCAGCACATTCCTTTAGAAGATCTGGGCTAACTCCAACTGGATGCAGTGTTCCCTGTCAGCCAAGCTGCATCTCCATGACCCCAATCCTTTCACCTACGTGCTTTGACAACCTCTTGTTTCTCCTGCCTACAATTCATTTCTCTGTCATGACTACCACTGTGAAGAAGTACAAACGCTTAATGCATTTCCTACTGCCACCTGTGCACACCCCTAGGACCCAATACCTACAAAGGGTGTGTGATGGGGACACAGAATTGTTGCCGGTCTTCAGATGGGCAAGATTCCTTCCATTTACAATGAAGGAAGCTTTTCGTTGTCTTTGATGAAAGTGCCAAGGAGACTTCATTCAGAAACTAAGAGTTGAGGACCTACTATGTGCAGTGCCTTACACCAGTTCCACATACTTCCAGGTGCTTCTGGGTATGTCCTGTTAGAATAGGAGAAAGCATGAGAATCTAGAGATGCAGAATCCAGTCCATCCCAAACAAATCCTATGGGACTGTTTGAGGAACCAGTTGTGTCAGACAAAGGGTGATCTAGAATGGTGGTTCACGAGCATGTTTTGAAGAGTGAGAAGTCTCATCACAGGGCTCTCCAGGGCTGCTAAGGAAGGAGATACCCAAGCCCTAGGCCCATTTCACTCCAGCTGGCTTCCTCTGTGTGGTGTTAGCATCCTGAATAGGTGTTAGCATCCTGAATAAGATTTCATGGAGGGAGAAGAAAGATTCCGGGAAAGTAACAACATGGTAGTATGGTCTATGCTAATATCGGCTCTAGATTCTACTTCTAGGTATAAAAGACTTAGTCTTAAACCAACCTAACACTGACCCCAAAATGAAGCTAGCCCCAGGTTTCATGTGTGGAAGAGGTGGCCAGTCTTCCTTTACTCCCGTTAGCCCAAGATAGCCACTATCATTGGTCCCTTACTTCTCAAGGTATCCCAGTATGTTTGGAAAAGTTGCGGCCAACCTTGATCCATGATCTGACTAACCAGGCACAAATCTGAAGTATGGCTTATGGGGCCTACCTCAGAGAACCAAAGAATAAGCTCATCCAAGGTCACCCACACTCCAAAGTCATGCTCTTTGTCGCATTACAGAATTCTGGAAATGGATCAGAACTGAATGCTTTCTAGGCCTTTGACCATCATCACTTGGAACCAACTAACAATCCAGCCGAGTGGCACGTTTGTCTCTTACCCTTTTGATCCAGGCGTATGATGGTTCTCCTCATTGCTTTTGTAACCCTTTTTCATTCTTTTCTTTTCTTTAAACTTGTAAACTTGTATATCCCTTTGGGCATGGCACTGGAGCCAACCTTTCCTAGGCCAAAAGGAGTTAACGGGTAAATCTGGATATATATATATATATATATATATATATATATATATATATATATATATCTGCAGGAGAAAGCTCAGTGGGCATACTGTATTTATTGAGCCACAAAGACATTCAATAAAATATTAACATTGTGTTTTGATTTATGATCTTTGTCTGCTTTGCTAAAACAAAATGTAACCGGGCTAACATTTGAAATCCTTCATATACTTGGACACCAAAATGTTGCTTTTTATACAAAATTTTGGCTTGTCAGTTAAAAACTAAGCCTCCAAGTGTCTAGCACCTCAAGTTGTGAATATTGCTTCCTGTTTTCAGGCAGTCTACCTGGAAATGGCATGTAACCTTTATTTTGTTAATTTAAGCAAATAAAAAAAATGTTGAAAAGAACTGTTACCTATTTGCATGTATTTGAAAATTGGGCCATAAGCTGCCACTGTCAGTATTTCGATCCTGTCATTGCTCTGTCTGCCTGGAGGCAGGGATTTGGGATTCTCCTGCCCCAAGACTTTGGAAAAGATGAATGAATGTCAGCCCATGTGTAGACAGATGACATTATAGTCATTGTTTTAGCCCATTCCAGGTTCATGGAGTTAAGAGGTAAGATGATCTCAATCTGCATCCAATGCTTTATAAAATGAAATTAAGACAAGAGGCAGAAGACTCCAAAATCAGAGCAGGGCCCCTGGTTCTAGTCCAAGCTGTTTGGTTCAGACTTCCAGCTTTAAACCTCTGTGACCTGAGACCAATCCATGAACCTCAATGTGTGTCAGTTTCTTCATCTGTAGACCAGGACTAGGAGTTATATGTTCTTCATTTGGTTATTATATGGGTTAAAGGACTAAGACAGAGGACATGAGACCATCTTGGGCTCACAGTTTATGCTATGAAAGAGTTCAGCATGTAATGGTCAACACTGTGGCCAGAAAATGAAGAGTTCCATTCTCTCTCCTCTACTGAGAACCCACATTAGCACAGGTGGGCACCTGTTTCAAGGAGCTGCCTTTAAAACCGCTGTAGATGTGCAACACATGCTCTGCCATATTCCAGGCACTGTGCAGGGTAGTTCACACAGTAGATTTCATCTTAGCCTGACAACCCGGGAAGCTAACATTATCCCTTTCAAACTAATGTTACTAATAAGGAAACAATTTGTCCCTAAAAATTAATTACTAAATTTTTTCTTATGTGCCTCAAAGCACGTAACCCGGTACAGTGTTGGTCCCTAGAAGCAGATGCTAAGGCAGATATGGAGGTAAGATGTTTATTAAGACTAACACACATGAAACCAGCAGGCCTTCCGTACGTCCATCACTCCAGCTATCTTCAACCCGCACTCATCACCAGAGGTGGGCTGCCCTGAGATGAGCACACCCCAGCATTTGAGACTCAGCCTGGGGGTGAACTGCTGGAGGCTGTCATTCTCAAGGCAGCTTCCCGCCTTTCCTTGGAGGGAAGCTGAGGAGAGGGGCTTCTCAGTGATACCACCTCTGGGATCACTCCAGGACACTTCATGGGCCTCCTCTGGCACGGTCTGGTAGGCTTTTCTTCAAGATGGCATCTCAAAAGAGGAAGATGAAAGTAAACTGCAGCCCTTATACCTGCAGTGCATCAATGTGGGGATGTTCCTGCTTCCACTCCTAGTCCCAGTGCAAGTCAGGCTTCCTACTGATACACAACAACCTTGAAAGCCTTTGATCCATGAATATACTGAAGGATGGGACCCAGTCCTCACACACTATTTCCTCTAAGAAGCACTCTGGAGCATTCACTCCTGGGTATCATGTATGTGTGATAGAGCCAGTGGGCCCATCTCTTGGCTTTACCATAAAGTCAAGCTCATGGTTTGATGTGATGGTGTGTGACCTTCTGTGCTAATAGAACCAACACACCATCGCTGACTTGCACAGTAGTACATGGCTAAGTTCTTGCATGCAGCAAAAAACAACTTACACCAGGAATCTGTCTGTTCCTGCTGGCCCTTCATGGTGAAAGGTAAACTTGGCATCAAATGATTGGCTCTTCTTCTTGAGCAGTGGGGTCAGCATCCCTCTTTACTGGTCCATTCAAGAATGGGAGCAACTAGTTAGATCTTGATCTGCGCAGTCCAGGCTGCCAAGCCTACAGGCTACCCCCCACCTCTGCTGCTGTGGCTACTTCACCCCATATGGTCTTCATTCCAGTACTATAATAGCTATTGACAGAGGCTGATGGCCACTGGCAAGGTTGTTTTAGCTGACATGTTACTGAATGTCTCTTCAGTGACAGGTATTAACATGTTATACAAGGATTTTCATACTTTTATTCATTTTCACACATTCACATAGCTGGGAGGTAATGAATACTACTACTGCATTCCCCCGCCCCCAGAATGTAGCAAGCATAACCTGTAGCTCAGTTCTGGATAGAGTCTCTGTATCCCACTTAAACATTAGGAACTGGACCTCCAGTGTCCATATTTCTCTAAGAATTCTTACAGTCCTAACTCTTACCACAATGGTGAATCTCCAATCAGAGCATTTGATGGCTTTTCTAGCCCAACATCTCAAATTCTTATGCATTCCTCCTCCAAATTGGTTCCAAAGGTCTAAGAACCACATAGTCACAGCAACAGCCCCACTTCTTGACATAAGTTTTCTGTATTAGTTACTTTTCTTATTTTTGTGACAAACACCATGACTGTCTTAGTATTCTATTGCTATGAAGACACACTGTGACCAAGGTAATTCTTAACAAAAGA